TCAATTATTTTATAGGGTTGGAAATTAAGAGAAAGTAAATTTAAAATATCAAATGTAAAAAAAGAAATGTATATAATATCGTTAGAAGCTCACTTAAAGAAAGAAATCAATTCTAAACAAGTGTTTAACAAAGCAAAAACAAGGTTATTTGTCATAAAGTAATGACGATAAAAAATGCATTAGTGGGAAGTAATATGCAATAGATAGTAACAACAAGAAAAAATCTGTTGTTAGTAGTTATACACAAAGATGAGCCAATCTCAAGCAATAGGAGCGAGATTAACAAAAAGAAAACTGCTTGATAAGTATTTATTAATTAGTTAATTGATAAGTGCATTAATTGGATTCATATTTATTTATATTATTGCTAATGGTATAAATAGCTATTGCCTCAGGAAACCGTGCATCATAAAACCATTATTAAACGAGAGAATATAAACAAGAATTAGTTGTATGATATTTTATATGCATATACATATATACATTATTTATATATTTAATTTTATTTGATAAAGTATTATTGATATATATAAAGAATTAGTTGTTGTATGATATTTTTTATATGCATATACATATATACATTATATATATATTTAATTTTTATTTAATAAAGTATTATTATTATTTTTGTAAAAATAAGTGATTAAAAAGGAAAGAAAAATATTATTGATATATATATCAATCAATTAAGTAGTTTTCCTCTTATTAGCTGCTGCTCGTTTAGAAGTACTAGTAGTAGCGGCTGGCTTGGCTTTTCTAGTAGAACTAGTAGATTCTTTAGCAGTGGTGGCTTTTTTGGCTTTTGGTGCTGCTTTTTTAGGAGGTAATGCACCAGTAGAAGCTTTTTCAGTGGTTCTTTTAGTTGGAGCAGCTCTCTTGGTAGTCGTCTTCTATATAAAGTAAATATGATAATGGTGATGATGATGTTGATGATAAGTAAAGAAAAATAATACGTTGATATTAATCGTTAATGAATTAATTAATTGATAAATAACTGATTGATTACTTTATCAGATGCTTTGGCTTTGACGGGAACACTTTTTTCAATTTTTTTAGCAACAGGTTTATCTTTTTTCTCGACTTCTTTCTTTTCCTTTTCCTTTTTTACAAGTTTAAGAGTGCCACTAGGACCTTAATTAATTATAGTACATATATGTATGTAAATGATCCTGTTAAATGATTTTATTATTGTTGTTATTATTATTAAATACATCATCATGTCATCAATACATACCATTTGGGAAAGAGAAAATACCCTTTTCACAACCTTTAGTAATAGCCATACGAAGACGGCTGTTTGTAGTTGGATTATCAGGAAGATTATACGTATTCAAAATATATTTCTTGATTGCTTGGCGGCTGATATCATGATAATAATGATAATAATTTATAATAAATATATATATATATATAAACAGTTTATTTTATTTATTATATTTGTATGTATATATATACCTGCTTCCTTTTCGCTCTTTCAAGGCAACGATAGCATCTAAACATTATTATTAAATTATTATGACATTATTATTATTAACAATTAATACTATTTATTATCTTGTTGCCCTTTAACAGCCATTAAATTAAAATAAATAAGAATACCTTTAATCATATCAGCATATTTTGGGTGAGCAGGAGCACTAGAAACTTTCTTGCTTTTTGAAGCAGCACTTGCAGAACCTCTTGGCATTGTTGTTATATTTTAAAAAGCTTAAATGTGTGTAATAAAGTGAAAGACGAAGAACAGATTAAATATTAATATTATTTGTTTGTTGTTATTAGTTATTATGAAAATTTGCAAAAAAGAAAAGAAATGAGTAAGAGAAAGAACTGGTGTTTATATGAAAAAAATTATTTAAATATATTTATATATATAAAAATGTGTATACGTAATGATTATTTTATTTTATTACTAATATATATAATTGAATTTATTTTCCCAATTTTTTCATCAAAAATAAATTTCGTTGTTATTGTTTTTTCTTCTTTAAAAAAATATAGAAAAGATTGTGTAATACAAGGAATTCAAAACTTTTGATTTTTTGTTATTGTTATTGTTATTGTTATTGTTGTTGTTGTTGTTCGTCACTTTTTTGAGATGTAAGAACGTGTCATAGAAAAGATAGAAAAGAGTAATGATGATATGTTATGAATGATGATAATTATATATATGATTCACATGATGATTGCCATTTCTTGCCTTCTTTAAACTAAAGAATTTGATTAAAGCGAAAGAATTCATTCTAACAAATTATTTATTTGATTTAATTGGATAAAGTCTTTAATTTTCTTCTAATCTCTCTTATCTCTCTCTCAGAACCCCGAAACATGCAAAAACTGCCAAATTTGGAGAGGATTTTCATTAACCCGCCAATCACAGCGTGGCTCGAACCTTTATAATTTTGGGGTCCTCTTTCAACCATTAATATTATAGGACATTTTCGACTACCCATTTTGCGTAGCAATATTTTAAAAGTTCTCTTATCAACCAGCTATTATTATTATCATCATCATTATTTATTATATTATTATGCGCAAATCAGTGGGAAAATGGCAATGTAACATTGACACACATAATGAAATAATAATATGTGTAGGAGGGTGTATAATTTATGTAATTATGTGTGATCAAAATTTTCTTTTAACTCTTCACCCCCAAAAAAGTAGGCTTTTAATTAATTATTTGCTAAAAAATAATTTTGGGTTTTCGGTAAAGAAAAGAATAACGACGTTATAGGTATTCAAATTTTCTGAATAAAGATGATAATGGTGGATTCATAGCAAGTTATGTTGATGGTACGGTGCGGGTCACTCTAACACAATATATAATAATAATATATAAATTTTTTATTACCTCCAAATTAAGTAAAAGGATTTCCAAATTAGACAACTGAGCCCAGTCCAATGTTTCAAATTTGGGAAAATTTTATATGTATAAAAACGCATGATTTTTAAAAGCTAATAACCCAGAACCAATAATAAATATTTTCAGTTTTATTTTGATCATGAGAATTCAGGATATGATTAAACTTGTTCTTCGAGGTAACAGATGACTAACGTTAAAATCTCTCCCATTTGTCGATCACATTTGTGGCTAAATAATTTGACTCATCCCAAAAATTACATAATAACAATGTTAACCATTTTTCCATTTTATATTTTACCTTGTTACGATTTTATTACGAGGCATTACTTTAAACAGTTTGTGAACTATTCTCATAGACGTGACTTTAGGTTAATTTGGGTATCAGTACCTATACGTTTTTAATGGTAGATTTCTTATTTTATTGTTTTACAACAACTTTGCCATGATCTAATCCTTGGTTGGCAATAGGCTGAGATCAACAAGTTTGGTACCATTAATGTTACATCAAATCTCGGTATCGTTTTCATGACAGAAAATTTGGTCTGGGTCAAAACGTAAATAATCTGGGTGAAATCATGATTCCATACATAATAGGCAGGATTTCAAACAACTCAAGACAAACTAATTCACGTTATCCCCTCTATATCAAGGGATTCAACGAAATAAGATCTTCTTGATTATACTTGAACAACGCCACTGATTCTAATATATCATCACTGTCATTTGCTGATATAGGAGCCTTCATGCTGGAAAGAATGAAACCATAAAGAATTACTTTCATCAACACTTTTTTCGTTCCCTCTTCATCACTCCTCAATTACAGCCAGGGAATATATATACCAATTTTGGAATTTCTAAATACTGTGATATTCATTGTGTAATAATCATAATTGGCTATGAAGAAAATAGCCTTACAAGCCTACCAAGATTATTATAATTTGCAACTATTGATTTTTTTTTATTGCATATTACTAATAATAATAAAACAAAATAATGTATTCATATAATTTTTTCCATTTAAATATGGATATGCAATGATATTAATATGCTTCTTTTTCCGCAGTAAATAAATACTATTATTATAGAGCCAAGTAAAAAAATCAATGAATAAATGAATACAATGAATTATTATATATTTAAGTAAAGCATATTTTATACAGTTAAATAAAACATCGTTATTAACAATTCATTTGTGATGTCTTATACAAACGGAATAATTATAATAATAAAGTAAAAGATTCAGCTAAAATGTAACGGGAAATCCATTTCTATGTTTGGTATGTTTCCTTACTGAATTAACTAGTTGCAGCATATAAAAATTTGAATTGCGGCTAAAATAAATATTGTTTGTAGTAATTTCCTTTAAGACTTTTAAATTTCAAAAATACGATTAACTTGTGCTCCACATGTAATCAGTATTATATATGTACATTTACATTTGTTGAATGGTTTACTTGAATATATGAAGCGTGAATATAAGTATTAGTAATCGCAAAACTATATATTAAAAATGTGTGGTGATTGGACAAACTACCCTTCTTTCAGTTAACCATGTTTCTCAGTCCCCTCATTGAATCCCAAGTTATTTAGCAGAAAGAACAAATTTGGTAATATAATTGATATCAATACACTAGAATAAAAGCATATTCAATTATACACATTAAACTTTTCTTGCATTTTTCACCTCATCATAATCTTTGAAATATTCTAATTGCCAATTTCACATGTTCCACCTTTTGTTTATAACGCGATCATTACACCGTTGATTTGAGGTACGTAGTGATTAATACATTGTTTCAATGCCAATCCAAAAAGAACTTTATCAAAGCCGAGATCTTTGCATCAGAAAAATAAATCCTCATGTTTGTTTCCTTCGTAGAAGTTTTGCTTAATGGTTCAACTTTTTCATTATAACTTGACTTGAATAAAAACCAATTAGGCAATCACAAAAGTGGGCTGTCCCCACATTCAAGGCTGGTTATGACCTGCCAGTACTAGAGCAAGTCTGCAGTAGACGCTTCTATTGTGCTTAACAGAACTGTCAATATGTTAAAAGAAAAACTCAGAGTTGCCCAACTAGTTGAATAAAGAAAAAATATTAATGAAAAAAATTAAATATATAGATAATTGATAAAAAATGGAAGTTACTATTTTAGTGTTTACCAAATGTGTATGGTTGCAAAAAATAAAATATAAATAAATAAATAAAATACAAAAACTATTTTTTCATTTTATAACTTTTTTGTTTTTCATTCTCTCTTCTTTTAGAATAAATAAATCTAGTATATAATTGTAACAATTATAAACTATCATAATTTTAACTTTGTTGAATATATACATAAAAATGTTTGGCTTTTTATTTTATAAGCCTATACGGTAAGTACTTTCATCATATAATTCGTAAGCCAACTAACCAACTATTCATCAATTCACTATTTTTTCTCGTTCACTTTTACAGTAATTTCTTTGGATTCTTGTATCCAACATATGCATCATTCAAAGCAATTAAAACAAATGATGTTAAAACT